TACATGTACAGCTGTATATTTGATTTATAACTTCATGTCACTACTACTACTAAGCCAAGTCCTCCCATTCATTTTATTCATTCTTTTATTCACTTTGTTTCTCTGTGACGACAAGTTTTTATTATCAAAGTACTGTAGTATTTTTCAAATGGAGTTTAATTTAATTATGATTGCATGATTAAATAAGTTATCTTATATTGGTGTTTTTATTTTCATACTTTCAGTGCTTTAACAGTTCAGATTGTTCAATAAATTTGCATGCCATGTGTACCGTAGTGTACTTACTAATTCTTTGAACTAACTCTTTGCTAATACTCTCCCCTACCCTAGTCTGACTTGGAGCTTGGACTTCAATCCAGTGCTGGCTCTCAATCTGATGTTTTTGTCTCTTCTACACTACCAAAGAACTTCAGGTTCAATCGTAACCGCCTGTCAGATGATTTTGGTGGGCGTTGCCGCCTGGATGGTCTGGGATACCAAGCATCACGATATGAAGAGACTTCCAATTTAGTACGGATGAGGGCAAATCCTTCGCTTGGCAACTCGGAACCTAACTTATCTGGAAGCTGTGTAAGTACCCTCTATTTTTTGTAATATCTTTTACTTTTTGTGTGACAGCTAACATGCTTATCTTATAAGCAGCTCCAGAAAGCTCATGTTTTTGGGAAAAAGTTGTTTGAAATACATGTAAATTATTATTGAGAGCATGTTGTACATGTACATACAGTATCACTTGTTTCTTCAACCTTAAACAATTTTAATTACCATGTTTTTGAGTCCGTGGCTCAGGATAAAATAAAGCAATCAACAAAAACGTTACAAAAAACCTGCACACTCTTAGCATAAACAACTAACTTACCTCAAGTCGCATTTATGACAACAAAAAATAAACGATTGGGTATCGATTAGCGTGATTTCATCGAGTCTTGGTGCATGTGGGAGGTTGTTAAGCATGAAGGAAGCTTGAGAGTTGCACAAGGCATAGCCAATTCCACTCTAACTTCTTGAGTGTTTAAGCAAATGATTCAAATGCACCTTAAACCTGATGGAATCATGCTTATCAATGAACAATGCTTTTATAAAATACCTAAAGCATAAAAAATCTTTTTTAATCGAGAAAATTTTTAAACGAATTATTTTCTAACAAAATCTTCATTACATAGCAAAGACTACTCAATCATGTCAGAGTTGGATGCATGTTTGTACACGCTAATTAACCAGAGTTCACATTACTATTGTGGCTGTGTTATTATAATCATTTATGGTTGAAGATTAATATCCTATATCTTGTTATTTTGACAATCTGTGATCATACTTTTGAAAATAAATAGTTATAGCAGATAGAAGCAGATTTAACCTTGCTTCAAGACAAAATACACATCATAATATTATAAAGTACAGGCTGTTTGTCTTACACATGTATATTTTGCTTTTAAATATTGGTTTTGTACTTCCCATTTTTAATCTCAATTCCAGACAATGAGAAGTAGTGATAAGAGTATTGATATAGCAAGGTTATTATTGAGTACATGTACCTTTAATGTATTCGTTGGAGCATTTTTCGAAATTCATCTGTACATGTTTTGATGTTTTTCACCTTTTTTCATATTTGTTTATAGCCCTTTTCTTTCCTCATTTAAATATACAGTACTGTATATGGTTCATTTTTTTCTTCTTTACAGCTTTCTGTCCCTCTGTCTATATAATCATCAGTGCATCTATCGCCACACCCACACATCTTCCCATGTTGGTCAATCCATTATTATTTCCTTAATTTATGGAATGTTTTTCTTAAATAAGGAGAATTAATTTATTTTTGTTAAAAAAGTAAAAAACCATACTTTGCTTGGTTTCTTGAGCACTGATGTATTGTGTTGAGGGTCAACATTTCTATGCCAGAGGACTAACACTTGGATTTCAAAACAACTAAGAAATACAGTGTAGCAATATCTCAAAATGACCAGAAGTTTGAATGTACTTGTATAGCTAGAGACCCATATAAATTCTGGTCTTATATTTTTTTACTATTAGACATATCAGATTACAGATGGCTAATTATTTTAGATTTTATGTAGGATTTTCACATGCTTTAATGAAGTCCTATAGAATTTCAGAGTTATAAATTTATTATTTACTGCCAACCGGTTGGCTTGGTTGAGCATTGGACTTTCATGCAGGAGGTCATTTTTCAAGTCAGGGTCTTAAAATAGCTGCGGAGAAAGTGCTGCCTTTGTAATTACATCTACAAATGGTCAGACCTTCAAGTGATTCAAATGACCACTTTAAATGACATTCTTTTCTCTCCACACTTTATCATCATTACTAACCAATATCAGAGGGATGTAAAAAAACCATTGCTCAAGGATGTAAAGAAACCTTGCAGTGACCACACTTAGTGCCTACATCTCAATAATAACCATCTCCAACGATTGTAAATTGTATAAAAAAGCTATCTTACATTCCCAACTCAATGTATATAAAGTGTCTTTCATTATACCTACATAGAAAGGGTGCTATATAAATCATAAATCATTATCATTAAATCTGAATTATCATTTACTTTACCATTCACTTGGTATTTGTTTAAAAACAAATAAGTCCAAGCAATGTTTTAAGTGTTATTTGATAATTAATAAAAGGTTCATAGTGTGTTTTATATTTTGTAAGTGGTTATTAAAAACTTGCATGTGTATCTGCCAACAATAATATAAGTTAAAGCTTGTTACATATAAGGGAGTTCATGTAGAGTGGGTAGTTCATGAGAGTAGGCCAAGATATGTTCAAGATATTACAATTCTACAATGGCATGATGCCAATTAACTCTCAGGATAAAAAATGTTGGAATTTGCATTAAACCTCAAAAGGGCCTGTAAATACAGTATAGTGCTGTAGATTTCATTTTATTATTTAGATATCGATGAAATACCAGGTTTTCTCGAAAACTTGATATCTTTCACCAGTGGAAGATACCATATCTTTCACACGTGAAGGTGTTGCTGTTGAATCGGCTTGCTATTTTAATAAAGAATTTTTGAGCTTTTGTTTTATTTAAGTTTCATTGATATCTACAGCTGTATGTAATAAACAGAACATTACATGGCTGCTTGGAGATACAAATTTTATCTTCTCATGTTCAATTTAGATATCTCACTGGTTTGCTGCGCTCAATCGTGAGATATCAATTGAACACTCGAAGATAAAATTCGTATCTCCAAGCGGCCATGTAATATCCTCTATATATCTAAGGTGGCACATTTAAATAGGTCAGCAATATATGGTAGCTTGCCATCATTTTTACAGCCTTGAACAAATTAGACTCCTACATTCTAACAAGAACCAATTATTTTAAGGAGCTTCATACAGTACTGTATATATATTTTACATTACATACTTTTATTTGATTGGTTATAAACTTGTCATATTAGGAGAAATGGTGATAATATTATATTGGTAGCCATTTACCTATCTTTTATCTGAGAAGATATAAAGAAGAGCAAACCTGATTGGCTATTCTTGCCTCCCTGGATATTTCATATTCAAATAGAGTCAAGCTTAGAATGAGCAAAAGTAAGCATTGGAGCTGGTTCTTCATAGAAAATTTCTTATTATGAACATGATAAAATCTAGAGCAATTTGAATTTAGTTGTGCCATACATGCTCAATATTGTGCTTCATTCTACCACCTCATGAAATATCTTGATATTATCTTCCACACCAGATGCTTCAGGCAAAGGTACAAAATGTCTAATTGTAATTAATGGTATTGTGAGAGTATATTGCTCATATTTTACAAATAGCAGGGGCTTCTTCATTCATTGTGGGTTAGAATCTCTCTATTAACAATTGAACCTTCAATTGTTTAGTTTAACAAATAAAGAATGCCTATCAAATCGTGAAAAATCATGATTAAGAAGACTGAATGTCTGACTACAGTTTTACTCATTTAGTTAATCTGGTTAATCCTAAAGCATTGTCTCTTCTATCCAGGGGTTTAAAGGGATTTTTTTTCAAAAGTTTTAACCTGTTAAAAGAACTTATTCCTATAAATATAGATAAATGTGTTGTTGGTATTAATGTCCGACACTGCCATTGCAGTATTTCAAATGATTAGATATTGAATATCATGGCTAGGTATTTGTTATTGGAATTGTTTATTGATTGTGAATTTGTTTTAATATTATTATGCCATATTTTTTGTACAATTTATTGTTTCTTCAAGCATATCTGATAAAACTAAATCATTGTAAAATAATGATTTAACAACTTTTATTTCAAATATGGATATTATTTTATTGTTTTTTTTCCTAGCATTTTATGAAACTGGATTTTTTACTGTAAAATAATTATGTAATAATTTTTATTCTTCATGGAAAAAATTGGAGCCCCAAGCATTTTCCATCAAACTTTAATCTTAGTTTAATCTTCAATCTTATCAAAATTATAATTCTTAATATTTCTATAGTGCAAATACATTATAATATTCTAATGCACTGAATTTAAATGTACTATTTGGTAGTTTTTTGTAAATTATATTTTTTTGTGTCCTTAAATATTCTTGAAGAAGAGGATAGAATCAATTAACAACTCACTCATTACCTGTACAAATTATTAAATGTAGGAACCAATCCCAGACCACGACTTGGCTAATAATATGCAAGCACACTCTCCTTCCTCTAAGTAATATATACAGTATGAGTGGCCGTGTTGTATCAGATATACAACCACGAGGCATAGCCGAGTGATTGTATATCTGATACAACATGGACATGAGGTATTGGGAGCTTTTAGTAAACTTTAACCATTGAGCAGCTGTTGGATTTCTGTATTGCACTTATGCTTTAACTGAATTTTGCATTATGGGCCCGGGGGCAGGGAATCCGGGAAAAAAGTACCAGGGATGCTCGTCGGTCTTTTCAAAAAGACCCCTAAAAGATACCGGAAGTCTTTAAAAAAGGGTGCAGCTGAATGATTCCCCCCCCTCCCGGATTATGGGAGTTTGTAGATTGTGCAGAAAAAGAATGCAGTAAAATCCAGGGTTTTCATTAAGAGTTGGGGATCAGAGAATACTTCTGGTAACTGAACAAAATTCTCTTGCTTAAACTACCATTAATAGCTAATAATGAGAATTATAATATATTTCTATGGGATTTTTCTCTATAAGAATTCATAAAATTGATTATTCTCCTCTTTATAAATGTAAAAATGGCTTTTCAATCTTACTGAATTTGCATTCTTCAATTTTGTGGCCCGTCAAGTTGGATGTGCACCAGTGTATGCCAGACCAATTACAGGTGTGAAAATTTAATCTCCATCAAATCAAATACCCGAAACACAGCATAAACATGGCATAAACACAATCATGTCAACCTACTGGCTAAAAAATACAGGCAATGTTAAAAATATAGAAAACATCACATTTGCCAAAGCACACATTATACAGTATAGCAAGAAACTGCTCTAATGTATGATGAAGCAAGGCTTAACTAAGTCATATGGGTTGTAACCTTTTGTTGGCTATAATTTCAAGGGTCTGAATTTTATTATAATTTCAAGTAAAAAACCTGGAAAAT